CGCATTCCGGCAGCATGGATGAACCTATCGCCCCGTATCAGCTTAGTCGACCTGGGCGCGCGCGATGAGGAGGCGAAAAAAAATGAAGAAAGGAGCGACCCGAGCTCCCCGAGCGAGTGATGATGGCCCTGGGCTAGGAGGGGTCCCGCAGTGATGTCATTGCCAGAGCCCGGGTGGATGAGGTCCCCACCTTTCTCAGCTGAATGCGGTGGGGGGTGGGGAAGTCGTGCGTCCTGCCTTGGCCGGCCCGTCTGGAGACATCATGTGCGTGCGTGTGCGTCTACGGGGATATCGAGGCAGGCGAGGCAGGACAGCCTGGCCGATCGACACTCAAGGCTACGTAGGCTCATGATGGCTTCGTGTGCTGCTTCGCAACGCATCATCCTGTGGTGCACATTTGATGCCGAATGAGATTGAGCAAGTCATGAACCATCCATTAACATACCATACATTCAATGCCGCGTTCTGCGACAGCACATGACAACCTCCCAAAAGCCCCAGGACGCAAATGCGCCATCGCTATACCTTTAACCAATACGTATCTCATCCCAAGGATAACACTAATCGTCCAATTTGAGCCACAAGAAAAAGGTGCCGCCGCAACTGCCCGTGTTTCTAAGACCGTGCAACCCTTCTCGTCCCACCTCTACTCTGTTGAAGTGTTCAGGTACTAGCTAGTACCGAGTTCGGCTCGTGCGTTCATAGACAATGTCGCCCTGAGGGTGTGGATCATACGTCCGCCGCGTGACACTGGTGTAGCTCGCGCGCGGCGACCGCGAGTGCGAATGGTGGTGATGATGGTGGTGCCCATGGCTATGGTGGTGGTGGCCGTAGTGTTTCCTCGTTGGGATGACCTCCTCGTGGTAGTAGTGTTGGCGCGTGGACCCAGCTCCGAAGCACATGTTGGTGGTATACTGGTGGCCGTTCTGGTGATGTTTTGATGGTTGTTGGCGGTTCTACCGGATGTGGATGAAGATGATGATGCGATGCAGGTACGAGCAAGATGTCTCGAAACCGAACGGTTGTCTTCGATTGTATCTGGGGGGAACGAGCAGAGGGGCTGGCGCGACGTGGACTACAGAAGAGAACCGGGCTTGCGCAAGTGGGCAGACTGGGCCTTGTTATATTAGACCCTGGTCATCATTTAAGCCATCTGAAAATGCCACCAAGCAAGGTCTTTTATGCGAGATGCTGACAGGAGGCGCCGCATCCTGTTTACGAGCGCCTCACCGCGCTTACTTGATTTTGGCTCAAGTGGGAGTGTGGTGTCATGCGATGCAGGGCGCAGTAAGTTGCGACGTTGGACCTGACCATCCATGTCCTGGTAATTCTGCACTGGGTTTTCAACTTGCGGCCAAGCTTCTAACGAGGCCCGGCCCAGCCTGGTCTTGACACTGTACTCACCCTTGCTGTCAACGTCGTTAGCTAACATCAAGAGCATACGTCTGGAGGGACTACCTTGACACCATTGAATTCACAATCCGACATGAGCAGACCGAGTTCGGCGACAATTGACTGGATCGCTCGTAGAGTCAAATTTTTCGATATTTCACGTTGACAGGGGACTGATCACACTGCATCGCCTCAATTGACCAATCGCGCTCTCATTGCGGCGTAGCTAATCACAGCAAAATGGCCTTTCCAGCCAGTCCAATCATCCTCTCTAAAGCCGTCTTCGCTTTTTAGATGCCGCCTGTTGATGATGTTACATTGTGCACTTGAGGCGAGAAACACGCCCCCCTCTATTCAACAAATCTATGCCACCTTTTTGGTCGAGAAAGCAAAGTCAAGCGTCCCGATGGCCCAGGCCCCCACAAACACGGCGACCATGCTGCCGAAAACGACGAGGGGCTTGCGCAGCGCCGCGGTGATCGAGTAGTTGTACGACACGTAGATCTCGCGGTCCCTGAACTCGTCCACCAAGTACGTGCCTTGAGTGTAACCGAGGTGCGGCCCACGGTGTCGAGAAATGCCTTGAACACGTCAATAGATGCCTCAGTGATGGAAGTTTCGGGCACATCAGTCCAATCTTGACATTCCTATTTCTCTGTCAGCTCTTTGTGTTCCGCA